ATCGAGTCGAATGTTCGCAGGACTCGTTCGTAGCCAATCTTGTCCAACTTCTGCAGGGTTGGTTGTGGAATGTGCGTCCGAGCTACCTGTCAGGGACGAGCCGGTTCCTTTATAATGAGGAATTTCGAGCATATGTGCCAGAGTTCTAGGAGTAGTTTGACACATTATCAGGAGTACTTTTTCCACATTAACAGATCCACCTGGTTACGAAAAGCTAGACCAGCCGCTGACCTTATGAAAGTCACCTCAACCTTCCTTCAGTGAAGTTTCACTTTTGCAAAGTTTGTAGAGCCTGATCGCGGTCGATCACTTCACCAAAGGTTCGTATTCTGTAGCAAAGAATCCGTTCTTTGTCGTGCGTCGATCAAAAAGTCAGGTCGTTTTCATGGCATGAAACAAGCTAGAACGCGGCGAACGACCCTTCAAAATGGTGAGCTGTCGCGGCACGCCCTATTTGAATTTTTGGGACTTTCCAGCTCTTCCCGTACAACAAGAAAACACAATGCAAGTGCGATTAGTTTAGGAGGAACCCTCTCAATAGATTTGTGCAAACGTGCTTCAACCAGAACGTTCGACTAATCGTTGGCGTTGTCCAATCTCCGATCACCACCCTCACAATCTTTAGGGCTCTCGCTATTCTTACAAAAGCTTTTTGAACAATTGCTTCAGACCATATTTATTGCGAATCTCAGCCAAGTGCGTCTATAATATCTTGACCTGCTTCCTCTCCATACTGGCCTGCTTTGAGCTAGAAAAAGGAAATCATGCAAATTTGCTCTTGGAGTATGCCGTATTCAAGGCTTCAAAAAATGACAACTAAATAATAAGGAACATAGCTAGCCTAGCTGTTAGATAGAACAAGAAAAGCTCTTCAAAACCACATACAGCTCATTGGCAGCTTGCTTGAATTCGTAACAAAATAAAGCGTTCAAAAACGAAACACCGAAAAGCGCAAGAACTTTCTTCACGACCTAATAGAAATCCCAATCAACGTGGCAAGATTGTTCGAATGGTAGATTATAAGGAAATCCAGAGCTTCAAAAAGAAATTCACTAGTCATACGTATGACCAAGATTTTTCCTTTCTAGTAATCAACATGGAAATTTGTATCGCACTTGTAATTTGTAAATAGCGAATTTCTCACCTGCATTGGGATAGCACAGAATGAGGGCTTCAGAATGGTTTGACATCACTTCAATAAATGGACGCATGTCTTTAGCACCGAGAGCGCAGTTCAAACCAACTGCAGTTGCTTGGCCCTGAAATGACTACTGAAATTACAAACATTGATACTTAAAAAAGCGCAGATAGGTTGGTGTTAGAAAGAAAAGGGGTTGCCACAGGTTTCTTCATCAGGAAGTTTCTGGGCCACGGTGAACTCAAAAAACATTCGCATTGCATGCACTGAAACTGCAAAGCGGAACATGGATGCCAATGAAGAAATTGGCATTGCATGTGAGCTGAAAGCGAACCCTGGCTGAGAGCAGATAATTTCGCTGACTTCTATCTTTAAACTCTGCTGCATATCAGCGCTCCTGGTTCCAATATGCACACGTTTCGTTATTCCTGTAAAGAGTTAGGGAGACAAACTTCATGTGTTTCATTTACAAATGACGAAAAAATTTGCGCCCTACTTTTGACTGTATTTGTACAAGGGAACGAAACGGCAACAGCTATTTATTTCTGGAAACTTATCATAATAATCACGTTGTTCTGCCACGATAGAGTTCCG